ACATTAAAAAAAAAAAATTAAAAAAAATAAAAAGACAAAGGAAAATGTTCCAGGTGACTCCTCCTCCCTGGGGCCTAATTGACTTCAACCGTCATCAGGGAGAAAAGCTGGTTACTGAGGAAGGGAGACAAAGAAAATTTCTAAGCATTTCTTAGTGAAGAGGGCATCAGGCCAAAAGTTAAATTTGGAGGCCCTGGGGCCAGTTAAGTGAGTCCTGAGGTTTTTGAAAACAGAAGATGATGGCTTGGGTTGGGGGGAGAATGGTAATTTAGAGTAAAGTGGAAGAATTAGGATCTAGAGGAGATTGCTAACTCAAGGGAGTAAATAAAGCCATCTTCGCTTCTTACTGGCTTATACTGTTGACTTTTAGAAATGAACACTGAAGAATGTACTGTGCACCCAGCTGTTAAATAATGTATTTTTCCCATTTATATCAACCAGAAGAAGGTGGGGAAGGAAAAGGAACTCCAGCATCTTGCCAGCTCTCCTTCTTTGAGGCCAACAGAGGTAGCATTCCATAAAAGGGTCCACACTTTTATGCCAAAATGAGTAATAATGCTTGTTCAAAAACATCAAGTGCAGGAAAAGTCTTGTGTGTTTGTATACATACATACTTTTAGGTAGAAGTGCCCGTTCTTACTATGAAACAAGGACCAAAAAAACGTAGAGACGAATGTGAACAGATTCAACTATATAAACATACTAAGTTTCTGTTTGGAAAAAAAAAAAATATCAATTTAAAAGCTCAGCACAGGGGTGCCTGGGTGGCTCAGTCAGTTAAGCAGCCGACTTGGGTTCAGGTCATGATCTCAGGGTTCGTGAGTTCGAGCCCCATATCGGGCTCAGTGCTGACAGTGTGGAGCCTGCTTGGGATTCTCTCTCTCTACCCCTCCCCCACTCTCTCTCTTTTTCTCTCAAAAATAAATAAGCATTAAAAAAAAAAAATTAAAGCTAAGCCGAAGCAGGAAATGAATTGCAAACCATGACAAAGTTCTACATAAAGAACTTCAGCAAATCAGTAAGGATCACAAGAGGCAAAGGACCTTACAGGTGCCTCCCTGTCAGTAAGAGAAATATAAATAGCTAATAAACACTTAAAAGTGTTACCTTCTTTAATACTTAAAGGAATACAAATAAAAACAACAGACCGGTTTCACCATCAATTGTCAAGGGGTAAAAACTTTAATATCCTCCAGAGTTTTTGGAGGAAAACAACTCCTCATATATTTTGGTGTGATACACTCAAGGACAAAAATATCCATAAAAACTTCAAGTGCTTATAGTGTCTGACCCAGCATTCACCTGCTAGAAAGTTAACTTACAGCAACACGTGCACAAATGAAGTAAGATACCTGCACAAAGATACTTATTGAAGCAAGTTCTCTATAAGAACGACAACAAAATAGAATAAAACTAAAGTTCTATCACTGTGGGATTGACAAACTAAAAGACATCGGCAAAATGGAATACCCTAGGGCTACTCTTTATTTCATTTTTATTATTATTATTTTTTTTGTTTTTTAAGTAGGCTCCATGCCCAATGTGGGGCTTGAACTCACAACCCACGAGACCAAGAGTCACAGGCTCTACTGACTAAACCAGTCAGGCGTCCTTCTGGGGCTACTTTTTAAAATGAGCAGTGTTTGGGGCACCTGGGTGGCTCATTCAGTTAAGCATCTGGCTCTTGGTTTCAGCTCAGGTCGTGATCTCACGGTTTGTGAGTTTGAGCCCCTCGTTGTCAGCACAGAGCCTGCTTGGGATTCTCTCTCTT